GGGGGGGGGGGGGGGGAAGAAGAGGGGCCCCCCCGAGATAGTGCCCCTCCATCCCTGCCGCACAACCACCCGCAGCATCTACGGAAACTAGAGCTGGAACAACTAATCGACATAATCGATTATTGAAAAAGTTGTCAACTTTTTCAATCATCGATTAATCGGCTTCCGATTGGTTGGCCCTGTTCATGGCTCCACCCATGCTGCACGCCACACTTCCTCCCCACCTTACGCTCGCCGCTGCCAGGCCCGCCCGCATCCACACGCCGCACCTCCTCACGCTCACCGCCCGCCCACATCCACAATCGGCACAGGGACGCGGGGAGAAGGAGGAGCAGGTGTGGGGGGATGACAGCTGCCCATACAGGCCCGATCTCAGAAACAAGTTGCTGGAGGACTGCTCAGGCAAGCCTGCACTTTTCCCACACATGGTGCTCTATAATGTATTGCTGGGATTTGTAGTCCTCTATAGCAGATGGTACATTGTGCTGTATATTATACAGAGGACTACAAATCCCAGCAATACATTAGGCACTGTATGTATAGTGTATTGCTGGGATTTGTTGTGTCCCTATATAGCTGGTGGTATTCTGCATTGCGCTGTATAGAGGACTACAAATCCCAGCAATAATACATTATACAGCGCAATGCAGAATACCGCCAGCTATAGGACTACAAATTCCAGCAATAATACATTATACAGCGCAATGCAGAATACCGCCAGCTATAGGACTACAAATCCCAGCAATAATACATTATACAGCGCAATGCAGAATACCGCCAGCTATAGGACTACAAATCCCAGCAATAATACATTATACAGCGCAATGCAGAATACCGCCAGCTATAATGCACTATTGCTGGGATTTGTAGTCCTCTATAGCCGGTGCCATTTTGCATTCATTTCTGTATAATTTTACACTTTCCATTTCACTATATTGCACACCACACTTTCTTTTTTTTCATTTTGACTTCCACCGCTTCAAGCTCGCTCCTGTGATGGACTGCACTCTCAATACAAACTAGTAGTCCCATCACTGGAGCCATTTTTAAAAATGTATTTTATGTTTTATCCGATTAATCGAACTTAATAATCGGCTAACTAATCGATTTTGAAAATAATCGTTAGCTGCAGCTCTAACGGAGACCCTTCATGGTTCCTTGCACCGGGGCCCTGAAGGTTCTAGTTACGCCTCTGGTTATAGCGAGTCTGCGGTGGTCTTCTCTAGTACTGCAGACCTTCTGAATTTGATGCAGTTGCAGGTTTGAGTTCCTTTTCTTTGCGTCACCTGAAAGTATATTGAGGGGCACAGGATGTCGAATACTGTCGGGTTATCGTGGTGCCTACAGGAGGACGTGACACTGGCAAACAAACCTCTAGGTCTGCCCAGGTTAACGCTACTATCAGCGCGCCTCTGCTTCCTCCTCGTGTCCTAGGTGGATAAGGTCGCCCCTCACCCCTGAAGATAGAAGACCGGGGTAGGCAACCTCGGAACTCCTGCTGTGGCGAGACCACAAGTCCCATCATGCCTCTGGAGTCTTGCAAAGCCTCCTGGGATGTGTAATTGCATCATGGCTGGAGTGCCCATGCTGCCCACCCCTGGTTTAAGACTTCCCGTGTCACTCAACGGGCAAAGACGATGTGATTTCTGTGCTCTCCGTGACAACCTTTCATTGGGGGGGGACCCGGGTCTTGCTCTGTTGATGATCTCTATTCTGCTTGCCACAAACTGAGCTGCTGGTTGTATGGGGGGGATCCTGGGCTGGGCTGGGCTGCAGCGGCATCCTGATGTCCCACACATGGTGACAGTGTGCGCCAGAGCACGCATCGCTATGGTTACAGTGCTGGCGCCACATGGGTACAGAGTGGAGCCGGCACTTCTGTCCTTCGAGGTGTCGTCCGGGTTGAGCTGTGAAGGGTCCAATAGTACGCCTTGCAACGCAGAGCTGCGCCCGCTTCCCTCTGCTGTGGTCTGGAGACTGCAAGACGGCGATGTAAATCTGCACATGCCGAACGTCTCTGGTTAGGGGCCCCCGGACCGCTGGTGACAGTAGGAGGGCCTTGTCACTGCCCGTACCCCCTATTGGCTGCCCTGTTTACTGCATTGAGATTGATCCTTGAGGTACTGTCCTGGTGAGATGCGGGGGGGGG